CTCCGGTGGAGCTCCGGAACAGGCCCCAAGATGGGATCTCGTGGATACAGAAAGTTGCGGCGGTGGAATTAGGTTTTTGGCTCATGTTCTGATCGTTTGGGGGTACGTGGGTATATATAGGAGGAAGGAGTACGTCGGTGGAGCACCGAGGGGCCCACGAGGCAGGGGGCGCGCCCTGTAGGGGGGGCGCCCCCTACCCTCGTGACCGCCTCCGGTACTTTTTGGAGTAGGGTCCAAGTCTCCTGGGTCTTATCCGAGAAGAAAATCACGTTCCAAAAAGTATTTTTCTGTTTGGACTCCGTTTGATATTCTGTTTCTTCGAAACACTGAAATAGGCAAAAAAACAGCAATTCTGGGCTGGGCCTCCGGTTAATAGGTTAGTCCCAAAAATAATATAGAAGTGGAAAATAAAGCCCAATATAGTCCAAAACAGTAGATAATATAGCGTGGAGCAATCAAAAATTATAGATACGTTGGAGACGTATCAGGCATCCCCAAGCTTAATTCCTGCTTGTCCTCGAGTAGGTAAATGATAAAAAGAGAATTTTTGATGCGGAGTGCTACTTGGCATAATTTCAATGCAAAATTTCTTAATTGTGGTATGGATATTCAGATTAGAAAGATTCAAGACAAAAGTTCATATTGACATAAAGAATAATAACACTTCAAGCATACTAATAAAGTAATTATGTCTTCTCAAAATAACATGTCCAAAGAAAGTTATCCCTACAGAATCATATAGTCTGGCTATGCTCTATCTTCACCACACAAAGTATTTAAATCATGCACAACCTCGATGACAAGCCAAGCAATTGTTTCATACTCTAACTTTTTCAAAACTTTTTCAATCTTCACGCAATACATGAGCGTGAGCCATGTACATAGCACTATGTGGAATAGAAGGGTGGTTGTGGAGAAGACAAAAAGAGGGGAAGATAGTCTCACATCAACTAGGCGTATCAACGGGCTATGGAGATGCCCATCAATAGATATCAATGTGAGTGAGTAGGGATTGCCATGCAACGGATGCACTCGAGCTATAAGTATATGAAAGCTCATCAAAAGAAACTAAGTGGGTGTGCATCCAACTCGCTTGCTCGCGAAGACCTAGGGAAATTTGAGGAAGCCCATCATTGGAATATACAAGCCAAGTTCTATAATGAAAAATTCCCACTAGTATATGAAAGTGACATAACGAGAGACTCTCTATCATGAAGATCATGGTGCTACTTTGAAGCACAAGTGTGGTAAAGGATAGTAACATTGTCCCTTCTCTCTTTTTCTCTCATTTTTTATTTGTTTGGGCCTTTTCTCTTTTTTTATGGCCTCTTTTTTTTCGTCCGGAGTCTCATCCCGACTTATGGAGGAATCATAGTCTCCATCATCCTTTCCTCACTTGGGACAATGCTCTAGAAAATGATGATCATCACACTTTTATTTTTCTTACGACTCAACAATTACAACTCGATACTTAGAACAAATATGACTCTATATGAATGCCTCCGGCGGTGTACCGGGATATGCAATGAATCAAGAGTGACATGTATGAAAGAATTATGAATGGTGGCTTTGCCACAAATACAATGTCAACTACATGATCATGCTAGCAATATGACAATGATGGAGCGTGTCATAATAAACGGAACGGTGGAAAGTTGCATGGCAATATATCTCGGAGTGGCTATGGAAATGCCATGATGGGTAGGTATGGTGGCTGTTTTGAGGAAGGTATATGGTGGGTGTATGATACCGGCGAAAGGTGCGCGGTATTAGAGAGGCTAGCAAAGGTGGAAGGATGGGAAAAAGTGCATATAATCCATGGACTCAACATTAGTCATAAAGAACTTATATACTTATTGCAAAAATCTAGAAGTTATCAAAACAAAGTATTACGCGCATGCTCCTAGGGGGATAGATTGGTAGGAAAAGACCATCGTTCGCCGGCCCTGCCTGCTCGGCCCCGCCGCTCACCGGCGCTGGCCAGCCCTCCCCCGACCTTGCCGGCCCCCGCCCCGGACTACCGTGCATGTCGCCGCCCCGCGTGCCCCTAGGCGCGCACCCGCTCGGGCTACGCCCAGCGCCTGCACCCGCGGCGCCTGTTCGGGCGGCGCCCGCAACAACCAAACCCACTATGGCACTCGAGCCACTGACTAGTGGGCCCCTGCCCCAGAATGAAAATGATAAAAAAGAAAATAAAAATATAGTTATTAATTAATTAATTAAGCTAATTAATCATGTTAATTAACCCTGTTAACTAATCTAATTAAAATGAATTAACCTAATCACTTAGTTAGTCTAATTAACAGGTTTAGTTAGTCTGAGACAATGACAACGACCGGCGTGATGACCTCTCCGTTGTACCTAGGTGGGGTTGTGACGTGTTGATCTTCCGAGGCCGGGCATGACCCAGAAAAGTGTGTCCGGACAAAGGGGATCGAGCGTGTTGGGAAATGTGGTGCACCCATGCAGGGAAGTTGATCTATTCGAATAGCCGTGTCCCTCGGTAAAAGGATGACCCAGAGTTGTACCTTGACCTTATGACAACTAGAACCGGATACTTAATAAAACACACCCTTCCAAGTACCAGATACAACCGGTGATCGCTCTCTCACAGGGCGACGAGGGGAGGATCGCCGGGTAGGATTATGCTATGCGATGCTACTTGGTGAACTTACCATCTACTCTCTTCTTCTTCTGCAAGATGGAGGTTGTCAGAAGCGTAGTCTTTGATAGGACTAGTTATCCCCCTCTTATTCTGGCATTCTGCAGTTCAGTCCACATATGATACCCCTTTTCCATTTGATACCAATGTATACATATGTAGTGTAGCTCCTTACTTGCGAGTACTCTGGATGAGTACTCACGGTTGCTTTGCTCCCTCTTTTCCCCCTTTCTATACCCGATTGTTGCGACCAGACGTTGGAGTCCAGGAGAAAGACGCCGCCGGTAATGACGACTCCTACTACACTAGTGGTGCCTACTACTACGTGCAGGCCGCTGACGACGACCAGGAGTAGTTTAGGAGGATCCCAGGCAGGAGGCATGCGCCTCTTTCGATTTGTATCCCAGTTTGTGCTAGCCTTCTTAAGGCAAACTTGTTTAGCTTATGTCTGTACTCAGATATTGTTGCTTCCGCTGACTCGTCTATGATCGAGCTCTTGTATTCGAACCGTCGAGGCCCCTGGCTTGTAATATGATGCTTGTATGACTTATTTTATTTGTAGAGTTGTGTTGTGATATCTTCCCGTGAGTCCCTGATCTTGATCGTACACGTTTGCGTGTATGATTGAATCAGGGGCGTCACAAACATTTTTTATAAATCCAAAAACCCTAACCTGGTAGTATAGTTTTATGAATTTTCCCACAAAGATATGTCGGAGTTGTCCTAACATTCTTGCACAATACCTAAATATATACTAAAAACTTAAATATGATTGTCTATCTACTTTTGATCAACTTTGAGTGTATTTGTATTTTAAATTGAATTATATAAATTAAATACCTATGAATAAAAAAATAGAAAATGAATCTTGGAAATGCAAAGAATGCGTGGTGCTAGTAATAATGTATATTAAATGATAAAAATAATTCAAGGGAAAAAAGTTTTACCATATAACACTAAAAACCCTAAATATAACCAAATATGACCCTACACCCCTAAAACATACAAGTGTCATGGATAATTTTTTCTCGCACCACTGGTAACACTCCTAAAAGAATGTGGCATTGCGTACTTCACACCCTCCAGTGACAATCCTCCTATATCACATCCTCGCACGCTGGGCTTAGTGAAAATTTTCCCCCAAAGTCAAGAGCTCCGCATGCGCGCTTGCCCCCCTAATCCACTTTGCGGCAGGTGGCCTATTTGTCAATGCAGCATCGACGACGCCATCGACAACTGTGGCCACCCTTGGCCATGTCGGCATGCGACAACTTCTATCCGGACATCCACACCCACACCCTCTCCCTAGCTAGAGGCCGGGGATTGAAAAAAGGGAAGAAAAGAAGGAGGATAGGTACAAGCTCTTCTTGGACGTGCAAAGGGAGAGGATGAAATTCCACCGACAACTGGTGTGGCAGAGGTTGCAAATTGAGAGGGAGAGGATGGACATGGAGAAGACGAAGGCATGAGAACAAATGAAGCTTGAGAAGGTGAAGGCATATGAGAGCATTTGAGATTGAGAGATAGAAAGGTGAGGCTCGCGGGGAACACCAAGGAGTCAAGGATCATGTTCACGGACACTAGCCTCATGGATAACGGAAGTGTGGTTAACCAACCAGAAGGAGATCAACGAGCATGTAGAAAAGTCGTTTGATTCATTTATGTGTTGGCTATGTATGAATTATGTTTTTTTATTTATCATGGATCATTTTGGCTTTTGTTGAATTGTTGTGTTTTATATTGATCGAATGGTCTATGTGCATGACATGCATGAATTTGGGGTTTTGAAAATGAAGGACGTCGCCGCCCAAACTGACAAATAGGATTCGGTCGGCTCCTGTCCAAAGACGCAAAAGCATGGAATAAACTGTGAGTGAAGGAAAACCCGTCGAGTGGCATGCCATGTATATGCTGACAACTGTGTGATGATTTGTCATAATGTGCTATTTTTTAAAAAAGGATTAAATGCGGCTTGACTTTTTCTAAACATGGTGAAACATATGAAAATGTCTTAAACGGTGTAATTCCATTAAAGCGGCAAAATATGGGTGAAACTGGTGAAACTGAAATTTAGTCTTCATTTAATCAATTTCTTTATTTATTTATATGAATGAAAATTTAGGAGAAGATTATCCTGATCGTTTGATTTGAAAGATTACACATGTGTCGCATCAAGTTGCTGCTATCAGAGAGAAATTAAATAGTCTGCTAGATGATGATTTTGGCCCAGTGTCCCTTACCTCGCGACTACAAACAAAAAGACAAGCACATGAGAGCAGCCTAGCTAGCCACCATTCCTTCCCGCGCGCGAGCACTGAGCTCTCGCGCAGATGAGCAGCTAGCACGCGTTGGACTTGAACCCGAAGACGCTCTGGCCTGCGTCGTAGAGCACCTCGAGCGTCCTCTGCTGCACGTTGCCGATGATGCCGGTGCTCTCGTCGTCGTCGGTGCCCGTGAACGCGAGGCAGCTGCCGAATATGATCCCGTTGGCATCGAGGTCGACGACCGCGCCGCCGTCGAACATCAGAGCGACGGTGGGTATGGTGACGTTGTCCTGGCCGCTGAAGTCGAAGCACGTGTCCAGGATGCTCCTGGACGGCGCCGTCGGGTACTGCTTCATGCCGTCCTTGAACGCCGTCTTGAGCGCCGTGTACGCCGTGGGCGGCAGCCGCGTGATGATGGTCCCGGAGTCCATCACGGACCCGGCGGAGAAGACGGAGGGCGCCACGCTGATCTGATCCCCGCCGACCTTGATGCCCTGGAGGAGCACGCCGTAGAACGTCGGGGCCTGCTCGCTTCGGAGCATCCCCGTCGTCGCGAAGCCCGTCGTGCCGGTCTGCGCGCCGAGCGTCAGGAACCCCTTGGAGCCGGGGGAAGGCGGGAGGCAGTAGGAGAAGGCCCTGCCGTACGTCGCCGCGGTCTGCGAGATGAGCGACTGCGCGTCGCCGCCGAGCCCCATGAGCCCGTCGGTCTTGTCGCCGAACCCCTCCTCCACGCGGCTGCAGCCGAACTGGAATTCCTTGACCGTGTCCGAGCCCAGCGCCAGCGTGTCGGAGCCGTACGTGCCGGTTGTGTTGGAGCCGTCGCCGTAGCGGACCATGTACTGGCACTGCGAGTTGGAGCAGACGTTGGCCTCCGCGCCGAGCTGTGTGCACGCCGGGGCGCCGCACGAGAACGCGGCGTACGTGCTCGACTTGGCGGGGTCGAAGGGCGTCGACCCGGCCGTGGAGTTGGAGTTGCAGTGCACCCACGACACGTCGCTCCCGGTGTCCATGGTCATGGTCTGCTGCACCGCCGGCGAGCCGACGCCGACGGTTATGACGTACTCCAGCGTGTCCAGGGAAGAGCCCAGCTCGGTCGGCACCTTGAGCTCCTCCGACTGCTGCAGCCCGCCGCCGCGGTGGTTCGTGGAGAACTTGCGCTGGACGTAGCCGGCTCGGAGCTGGTCACGGCGGAGCAGCTCCTCGAAGGCAGGCTCCTTCTTGGCGGGCGCCGGCGAGCACGGGCCATGCCTGTGGTTCAACGGCACCGTGGCTCCAGTGGACGACGACGGATTCACTGCAAAATCAGCGAGCGAATGGAACAATCATTGATCAAGTTGCAGAAAGCTACGCCCATTCGCCCACACTACTGATCTATCTACGTACCCTTGGGCTCGGAGCAGACGGCTTGAGGCTTGAGCGAGCTCGTCGAGAGAATCTTATAGCTCTGCTCACCCGCTGCACTGGCGATGAGAGCATGGCAGATAATGCACGACAGGAGGAGCAGCAGCTGCGAGACGAACGCCATGGCTGCTCCTTGCATCCCAGGGTAGATGTTGGGGGAGGCTAACAGCTAGAATCTGAACTTATATAGATATAAGAATCTTCGAACACAACCACAGAAAAATTGGAACTTGGAAGACTCGTAGTTGACTCGGTAAACATGGCAACATGGTGGCCAAATGGAAGGCTCAGTCTCTCTCTTCCAAACGAAATACTGCCGTCTTGAACACGACGGGAAGTCCCTTTCAGTGAGAAAAAAAGAACAGGAAAATCACGGTGCAAAGTGCCAAGTTTTAGAGTTCGGCCGTCCCTGTAGCGAGGGGCACCATTCGAAGGTGCTCGCCTTTCTATATAGTGGTGGTCCCTTCGAACGATGGATTTTCATGGGGAAAAACATCTGATTTCATCAAGTTATAAAAATGCTTGTGATTTTTTGAGAACCTTTTGTGTGGTAGTACTATATTGGAATCAAGGATAAAGTACAAAAAAGTTTGGCCGATCTATTTGGAATCAAGTGCACATAGACACAAGCACTCATGTAGAAGAGCGGGGTCGCGGAGAACGATGAAGCTACCGTTCGAAGCTTCCTCAAAAGAGATCATCCGCCACCATGAGATGTGCATGCAGGGATCAAACATGAGGTTTGATCCACAGTGGATTGAGAGTATAACCACCTCCAATAGTTATGTAACAAATAGTTGATTCTATAAATGTATGTGTCTTGCCCTATTGAGATGTGTACACGCAGCTGCATTCTGACATATGATTTCTTGAAGTAGTAAAAAAGCACAAGATTTTTGTAAACCTTTTATCTCATACGAAAGATGACTAGAAATTTAAAACCATGTTTGAAATTAAGGAAAAGTACATAAAAATGTTTGGTGGATCTAATCACAGTTTCATGTTGGGTCTTTTTGTGCTCACAGAGCACAACATAGAGGCAAGTGCTTGTACAATGCCGAAAACTGGACCTGCGGAGAACGACAAGTCAACATTCACAGTTACCACTCAAAAAGGGTTATCCACCTTTACAAGATGTGCATGGCAGCAAACCGGAGGTTTGATCTATGGTGGGTTGGGAGTACAACCACCTCCATTAGTTATATAACCAGGAGTTAGTTATATCGATGAAATTGTCCTATTATGTTGTGGAAATGTGTACACCAAGTTGCTCGTTCTAACACTTCTTTTGTCAAAACCAATAACTAGGACATGAGTCTTGACATTGCAATACAAAAAGTACCTCATTTTCAATAACAAACGAGGCCAAACTTTACATTGCTCGGTTAATTAGAGGAAAATTGGACTAAATCAAAGACCATGCTACCTAGCGATATTAGGCCTAGAGCACCGAGGCGACAAGCTGGTCAAAACCAAAACACACAAACATGAAGACCCACACACTAACAACGACCTTCAACATCATCGTCATCACCTTTGCACCGTGAATTGCACCGAAGCCACATGAGACTATCGAGTCATCTCTAGAATCTGCTAGTTGAATGATATCCTCGCTAAATATCGTTGAGACGCGCAACTCCAACTTCACAACCACCTACATTGCTGGAGGATATGAGTGAACACACAACTAATACGAGTCCCACAAACATGGAATTGTTGATGTTGCACCACCACCAAAAGGTAGCTCCTACTTTAGAATATCGTAGTTGCCACCACCAGCGGCCCATCTAGGGGGGTGCCATGACACAAATGCGATATAGTTTGGGACACCTAGGTGCCCAGGCTCCTTGCCTAGATGTCGTTGGATCATAGTAGTTTTCGTTGATAAGATGTGTTTAAATTTTACATGCATACCTGCATTAGTACTTTCCTATTTGTTTGCATGATGGTACTGTTATGGAAAGTAATAATGGTTGTCTAATTAATACGTGTCATTATTTTTATTAGGTATAAAATTTGCATCAAGTTATATATATTTATGTGAATATTTTCATTGGGTATAACACCAACGCGTACATATTGATGTGTATATTAACATCAAGGTATGTATATTCATGTGTATATTCACATTAAGGTATGTATATGTATGTGTATATTTTTATTGAATATAACACCGACACATACTTATTAAAAACTATGACATTTATGTGTATATTTTCATTGAGTATAAAACAACACGTACATATTTTCGTTAGGTATAATACCCACTAACTGGTATCATGGTCAAATAACATGTACACATGGTTATCTCTTGGTTACATGTACGTATATACGCACACAAGTATGAGTGTTCAGATTGTTTTTGTTTTGAAAAGAAATCACTAACCATTTAGGTTACTAGTGCATGCAAACAAAATATGGAAAGCAATTCATTGTCAATTGTATGTCATGCACTAATGAATATGAGTTACCATAACAGCCCTAGGTGCCTGGGCACCTAGGTGTCCCAAACAATTTACCTATATATATATATATATATATATATATATATATATATATATACTTAATATTAATCATATAAAATTTAGTGCTCTTTTAGGCTATTTAGGCTAAATTATACTATTTTAGTGTAAGTTTTCTAAATGTTGTATTGTCGTATTCAAGTTTGGCATCGCGGTACTTAGATTCTAGGTCCGTCACTAGCCGTCACATTACCCCAACTACCACCCCTAGCCACAAAGCGACAGTGATGAAGGTCATGGTTTCCAAGATGGCGCCTCCGGGAAGGGGCACCACCAAAGGCATTTCCTTACTCGATCCATCAAATTCGGGCCTAGGGATTTCATCTTGGAGAATAGAAGACCTTCACGATATGGTAGAAACAAACTCAAACTCTTTAGCAACACCTTAATGTCGGTGTCAAAACCGGCGGATCTCGGGTAGTGGGTCCCGAACTGTGCGTCTAGGCCGGATGGTAACAGGAGGCAGGGAACACGATGTTTTACCCAGGTTCGGGCCCTCTTGATGGAGGTAAAACCCTACGTCCTGCTTGATTAATACTGATGATATGGGTAGTACAAGAGTAGATCTACCACGAGATCAAGGAGGCTAAACCCTAGAAGCTAGCCTATGGTATGATTGTTGTGTATGGAGTTGATTACCTATGGACTACAACCCTCCGGTTTATATAGACACCGGATAGGGTTAGGGTTGCATAAAGTCGGTTACAATGGTAGGAGATCTTGAATATCCGCATCGCCAAGCTTGCCTTTCACATCAAGGAAAGTCCCATCCGGACACGGGACAAAGTCTTCAATCTTGTATCTTCATAGTCCAGGAGTCCAGCTGAAGGTATAGTCCGGCTACCCGAACACCCCCTAATCCAGGACTCCCTCAGTAGCCCCTGAACCAGACTTCAATGACGACGAGTCCGGCGCGCAAATTGTCTTCGGCATTGCAAGGCGGGTTCCTCCTCCAAATTCTTTATAAAAGTTTGTAAACACCAAGAGTAGTGTCCGGCTCTGCAAAATAAGCTTTCACATATTGCCATAGAGAGAATAATATTAACACAAATCAAATCTGCTGACGTATTCCGTAGTGCGTCATCACACTACAGCCAAGTCCTTACTCGAATCGTTTTTACTTTTCCACCTCAGCATGTTTTGCGAGGCGGTTTCCTTGGCACGTCTTGTCAAAGCAGAGATCGTGTACCCCCTTTACGGGATTCTCATCAATACGGACGTGGGTAACCCAACCACGCCATTTATCACGGCGCTTGGGAGGCAAGCGAGTTTTACTAGGCTGGTGGGGACGCATAACCACATCCGCCCATATAAGGGGACAAGGATCCACCTTTTTACCTATGCCTTCTTCCTCCTTTGCCTACTCATCTCCTGCGCACCCGAGCTCCAGCGCCCAAGCCCGCACTTCCCACCTCAACCTTCTCCAGCAATGTCCGGAGCGGGAGGCAAGTGGATGGTCTCCTCCGTCACGGAGGGCCATGTCAAAAAGCTAAGGAAGGCTGGATACTTGTCCAAAGACATTGCGCACCGGCTTCCCGAGGAGGGGCAGCTTCTTCCCACCCCAAGGCCCCATGAGAGGGTAGTATTCCTTCCCCACTTCCTCCGCGGACTGGGTTTCCACTCCACCCATTTGTCCGGGGGCTCATGTTTTACTATGGCCTGGATTTCCACGATCTGGCCCCGAACTTCGTCCTCAATATCTCAGCGTTTATCGTCGTGTGCGAGGCTTTCCTCCGCATCCGCCCCGATTTCAGCCTCTGGCTCAAGACCTTCAATGTCAAGCCCAAGGTGGTGCGCGGCAGCCAGGCGGAGTGCGGAGGCGCCATGGCGGGCAAGATGGCCAACGTCCTATGGCTCGAGGGCTCCTTCGTGGAGACCCTGAAGGGGTGGCAATCGTGGTGGTTTTACATCACCGAGCCGCGCGATCCGAAATGGATCGCAGCCCCCAAGTTCCGATCCGGACCCCCCACGCGGCTTATGTCCTGGAAAGAGATGGGCCTGTCGTGGGGCGACGAAAAAGAGGTGACCGGACTGCAGACATGCATCCAGTCCCTGGTGAGCAAGCCAATCAAGCTCGTCAATGTAGTCCAGGTTATGCTCGTCCATCGGATCCTCCTGTGTCAACAACGGGACCTTAATCTGTGGGAGTTCGACCTGGCGCAGCACCAAACCCTTAACAGGCTCTTCGGCACGACGTATGAAGACGTCTGGAAGGTGCTAACAAAAGGCGCCGAGGCTCCCACATCCGCTTCCGAGGACCGCGGATACAGATCGCAGCGTCACGCTAGCGAGGTAAGCTATTTTCACCTTTTACAGGATGTTAAGTTTTTTCATAGTTTGACTCTATGCGGGATCTAAACTCCCTTACCTCTGACAGGCTTGGCGGGCGATATCCGAACCGATTAACTGTCCGGCTCCGCTGCCCGAAGACCCAGCCCTAGCTCTACTAGCGAAGCTGCTGGTTCCGGCGCCTTATGTGGTGCCGGAGAAGAAGGCCAAGAAGAAGAAGGCCACGGGGACTCGAAAGAGTGCCCGTAATGTGGTGGTGTCGGACTCATCATCCGACGAGTCTGAGACGCTCTCCTCCCGTGAGAACGAGGAGGAGGAAGAAGAAAAC